GCAATCAAGGCAGATATTTTTTTTAAACTAGTTAATCTGCTGCAAAAGACGTTTTGAGAGTGTTGAAAAGCAGGGAGGTTACTTTGAAGACTAAAGCGCCCTGACCCATGGTATTTTCAATTGCCTCATATGCATGTGACAGTTGTACATTGAATAAAGAAGGCCGAAGAAGGATCGATGCATTTGGATTGTGGCGCTGGAGAAGAACATTGGAAGTACAACGGACTGCCAGCAGAACCAACAAATCTGCCTTGGAAGAACCACAGCCAGGATGGTCTTAGAAGCAAGGATGGTGAGACTTCAGCTCAGCATGTAGTTGGGACATATGATCAGGAGAGAGAAGGAGAAGGAGTTCATGCTTGGTAAAGTACAGGGACAGCAAACAAGAGGAAGGCTCTCGAGGGGATGGACTGACACAGTGGCTGCCAGCATGGGCTTAACGTATGAGCAGCTGTGAGGAGGTCGTAGGACCGGGCAATGGTTCACTCTATTGTGCATGGGATCACCATGGGTTGGAATGGCCTCGATGGCACCTAACAGCACCAAGAGTTGAAACCAGTCACGAATGTCACTTAGCACCATGGGCAAAAGGGACAAATTACTTATTGCATACTTTCCGGGTTGATGTTCAGGCACTCTGCCAGGGGTCAGACCCAACCCAGGGATGCATATGACATCCAGCCAAAAAGAAGGGGGAGGAAAAAAAGATGATAGTCAGGGAACAGGGCACTAACACACCCATGAGGAGGCTGTCTTTTATGTCTTGAGAGGAAAGGGAGAGACCAGAATGTACTACAGAGAACAGCACTGAAAATATAGGCTGGAGAAAGTGGCCAGTCTGTTCTGACCACACGGGAGCAAACTGAGAGAGAGACAGAGAGACAGAGAGACAGAGAGAGAGAGACAGAGAGACAGAGAGAGACAGAGAGCCTTATTATCCTGGTCCACCAAGCCTCGAGGATAACATTCCTGCTCAGAGCAGCCAACGCACAGAGGACCATAGGGTTGACCCGGCCCCAGCATGAGACAAGACGCCTCCTTACTAGCCCACAGTGCTAGAGGAAACAACACTGAAGATAAAGAGCAGGCATCCTGCCTGCTCCCACCCCCCCCCCCCCACTCCAAGTGGGGCGAATCACGAAGGGAGCACAACAGAGCAGTAAGGGGAGCAAAGTCACAAAGTCCCTGAGGAATCCCAACAATAGATTTCTGACTCAGGGAGCAGTACTTGGCACCTCATTAGACCTGGTTGGAATGCATTCATGAAAGTCAGCTGATCTACCTGGAACTATCTATAGGCTTTTAAATGTTTTACTTATTATTTTTAAATTTTTATATGTCTATCTATATAAAATAGGCAGGATAAACAACACTGAAGAGAAAGCAACTAGCCTGATGGTTCTGGGGGGACATGGGAGAGGAGCAGATGGGAGAAAGGGAGGGGGAGGCCAACAAACTCAGGGATCAAGGGAACAACAAGGAATCTAAAATTGACATCGATGAGAGTGTAGAATTCCTGGTGAGGCTTGATCAATTGTCATGTAACCGAGAGGAAATACTGAGAGCTGAATGAAGGGGGAACATGTTAGTGGGGCAGGAAGAAAGTAAAAGGAAATAGAGGAAAGAACTAGGAGGCAAAAGCTATATAGAGAGGTATAAATATAAGCATGTACATATGTAAATATATTAATATATAAGGATAAGGGTATTGGTCTATGTACATATATTTATATGTTAAAGTGTTATGGTAGCAGATGGACTTGGATATCTACTTAAGTCTTCCCTCAACAAAAGATCCCTCTGTTCTCATAACCTGGCATTCTGTGATGCTCTCCTTCCTGACATGATCGCTGAAGACAAAATGGGTGCATAAGCAAATGTGGTGAAGAAAGCACATGGTGCCTGCCTATTAAAAGATATAGCATCTTGGGGCTTAAAGGCTTGAAGATAAACAAACAGCCATCTAGCTGAGAAGCAACAAAGCCCACATGGAAAAAGCACACCAGCCTGTGTGATCATGAGGTGTCGATGGGATCAGGTACAGAAGATCAAAAACAAACAGTTATATTGATGTGAAGGGGAAGGGGATGAATAACAGAAACATGGGTTAAGCGATACCGAGGCTGGTGTAAGAAAATTTCATATATGTATAGAATCTATCAAGGGTTCACAAGTGATGGAGGATGGGGAGGGAGGGGAAAAAAGGAGCTGATAATAAGGGTTCAAGTAGAAAGATCATGTTTTGTAAATGACAATGGCTACCTTTGTGCAAGTTTTGCTTGGTATAATTGATTTATGGATTGTCAAAATATCTGTAAGAGCTCCCAATAAAATGATTATTAAAAAAATCTCTACCTTAGCTAACAAAAAAGGTCTGCCTTGAGCATTGTGCTTTTTCCTTTCTTTCTTTTTAAGCATAATGCTTTTGAAAGAACTCTCTGATGACCACCACAGGACAGATCAGCTAGGACACGTAGGGACCGTGAGTTTCTGGTCACGGGGAGGAACCACTCAGCTAAGGAGGGAGAGAATGGAATCATCGTCAGCACATTCTCTCCACAGAAACTAGGTATATTCTCAACAAGAACAAAATAACTAAAACTGAGATTAAAAAGATGAAAGATTAGGGCCCATTCAGCTTAAAAATCATTTTTTGCTTCTCAGGAAGTAATCAACCTGACACTATGGCTTCCTCCAGGACCATGCCCCTGGCATGCCACTCCATTCCCATGGCAACGGCTCTGTTTGGGTTCCACTGGCCTCTAATTCTTTAGCAGCTGCTGCAGGTAGGAGGCTTCCGGGGCTTTGTTGAGGGCCAGCGTGGACTGTGCTGGCTAATTTCTTTCCTTCTCTTACAGCTTCTGAGCTTATTCACAAAGTTCTTCTACCTCCACCTCAGTGAACTCAAGGTAAATGTTGGTAGCGGGTAGACATCAGCAAGAAAAAACGGTATGAGGGTGTTTGTTCATTTCAAAAACATGCTAGTATGCAAATAGCATTCATGGGCACTTTTCCTCACTTGAGATCGCAGTTATTCATGGTACATGTTTGCATTATCACACAAGTGCCAGCGGGCTGGCCAGGGAGTTAGGAGTACAGTGCCCACCTCTGTGCGAGGAGAGGTTTAGACTATACCAATGGTTCTGACTTTTCACCACTAAGAATTCTTTTGCTATTCATCTTCAAAATTCTAGACTCCAGAGTACCGAATTCACGTAAGTATCCAAGGAAAATTTATTGAATAACTACTAACGGACTGGTCCTATTGTGAGGGGATATCTGAAGGAAGGAGACCCAGATTTATACCCTTCAGGTGCTTACATGTAATGTGTTAAAAGGTTGACTCCACCTAGTATACTTTGGTTCCGTTTAGTAATCATTGGGTTATTTTCTCATGAGATAACCAAGGGTACCATATCGATGTGATTTAATTTGTGCCAGCAATCAAAGACAGGTGGATGGCATTTGTGCTGTTAATGAGCTCAATTAGGTTTATAAAAGCTTTTAAAATTGTTCTTAGAACCCCCACTACTACACTGATGGATCCCTGGGGTTTCAAGCATCCCAGTGTTGGGGTGATTAGCTAAAGCAAGGATCAGCAATAGTTAATAGTTGTGGCTTTGCTGATCTGGGAGAAGCAGTCACAGACTATATGAATGGATGAATGAATGAATGGGTGTGGCTATATGTCAATACAATCTTATTTATGGACACCGACTTTAATTTATCATTTTCATGTCATGAAACCGTTCTTTTAATTAAAAAAAAATGTAGATGCCTTTCTTGGCTCAGGGGCTGCATACGAACAGCTGGCAGGCCAAGGTTCCTTCAGGCTACTGGCCGAGGAGGAGGGGTGACCCCAGAGCTAGATTAGCTCTTGGAGCTGTCTAGTCCCCTAAGGCATTGATCTGGGAAACCCAAAGGGACAGTCTACTCTGTTCTGTAGGGTCACCAGGAGTCGATGCCCACTTTAGTGTTAGTGGTTTGGGTTTATTTCTTTCTTTTTTGAGTTGTGACATAAGGTGGTTCTAATTCACCTGCCTCCTTGTGGAGATGAGGCCCCGGGTGGGATCAAGTTTGGACTGAAACCCAAGCGTCTTTGCTGGTCGTGGGTCCTGTGTACATTCTAAGCAGTGGGCAGTCATGATTTCAGATGTGGTCCTTGTGTCCACGTGGCGCAGAAAATAGATGTGGGCTCAGCTGCCCTGCCCTGGTGTTGACCATGTAAGGGCTGTCCTCTTCTGAGCAGCCTCTGGCAGCCTAAAATGGCTCAGCTCGACCCTGGACTTGCACACCCTTTCCCTTCAGCCCTCTCTGGGGTTGCCAAGGCCCAGGAGGCCCATCTGTCCTTACTATTTGAGTCCCTGTTGTCTCATTGGCTGCTTTCTGAGCAGCTGCAAAAATGTTTGTAACTTGAAGTGGAAGTTGGGGTCACCCGCATCTCTCAGCAGGGGCTCTTTCGGCTCTGACAGGCACTAGTTGTAAGGAGCAGGGTGAGTGTTCCGCTACCTCTTGGCCAGCGGGTAATTAGCAGGGCTGGGTCTTGGCTCAGGGGCTGGAACAAGAGTGAGCATATTTTTGTGTATGTGTTGTCCCTTTGGTCGTGGAACAGCTTGGCCGTAGTGGCCCTGCCTTGCACTTGTTGGCTCCAGGTCGCCTTCCAGCTGCCTCTTGGAGGGAGGAGCCAGGGCGGCGGCCACCAGAGGGTCGGGTGCGGTCAGGGGACGGAGGCCCCATCGTCGGCCAGAGAGAACTATGCTGCGCGGCAAAGCCCGCCTCAACGTGGAGTGGCTGGGTCACTCGCCGGGACTGCTCCTCGAGCGCGGACCGCCCCTACCAGGACGCAGGGCGCGCAGCTCCAGCCGGTAAGTCACGTGAGCACCCGCCCCGCGCCGCGCCTGCGTCACCTCAGTGCGCCGCGCTTGCGTCACCTCAGTGCGCCGCGCCTGCGCCGTACTCCCACCGCCTTCCGGCTGCCTGCATCCCTAGTTCCCAGAGCGTCCTGCCGCCCCGTGCCCCGTGCCCCGTGCCTCGTGCCCCGTGTCTCGTGTTTCGTGTCTGCTGCCGGCCAGCGCCGCCATGGAGCGCCTGGACAAAGCGGCTCTGAACGCCCTGCAGCCGCCCGATTTCAGGTAGCCCGAGCGCGGCGCGGTGGGCTCTGACCGGCGGCCCTACGTGGTCCTGGGAGCGAGCTTGCTGGATATCTTTGTCCCGGGGGAGGGGGGATGCACCGGGAAGTCTGGACTGTGGGAAGACGCAGGTGGAAGGGGGCAAGGGCAGTCCCAGGCAGGGTGGAGTGGGGGGTGGAGGGCGGGGGTTGGAAGCAGAAAGCAGGTTAGGACGTGGGGCTGGGCGCCAGTCCCCGGGGGTGAGACCCCCCGTGTGCTAGACACTCATTGAATTAAGAAACCACTTCACTTCCTGGTTTTGAGTTGCAGGATAAGGAACTTGCCTAAGAACAGAGTTTGTAAGTGGTTGAGCGGCGCTGGGTCAGGCCCCTGACTCCAAATCTTGTCTTTGCAGACTTGGGGGGCTTTCCCCGCCCTCTCATTGCCTATCTGGGGTTTTTTTACCCCACTATGTGCTATGAGGACACCAACCTTTAGGATTTGGATTATGTAGAATTAAAATATAGTACCTCGCCTGGTCAGACTCTAGTGTTTCCTAGTGGAATTTACAATGAAAATGTGCTTTATTGTAAGTCTCCCTTGCCCCCAAAGTGACTGTGGTGACCTCTATGCTTGTTGTTAGGTGTTAGCTGTAAAAGGTGATAGGAAGTGGGTGAGCTCTGTGTGGGTTCAGATTGAGGAGGGCTCAGTAAGTAAGCTTTGACTGAAACTTTGTCCTTCGCATGAGGCCAGCATTAACGCTGACCTTGCCCAGTTCCTCATTTCTAACATGTCTCAGCAACACTGACTCAGGCAAGCCATAGCTTCCCTTGGTTTGTTCTTCCTGGGCTGCCCTGCATACGCAGAGCCACCAGCTGCAGCGGGTGGGGACTGGGAACCAAGGAGAAAATGGCCTGTAAAAGCTAGAGGATGTCTTCTGGCTTTCCAAAGCTTGTACACTTAGGTTTACCTTTGTACCTTAGTCCCCTCCTTGTGAGGTTACAAGTTCTCACTGCCATCAGGTCCATTTCCACTCATTTCAACCCTATATGGCAGGGTAGACCTTTTCTAGCCCCTGTGAGTTTCTGAGGTGGTAACTTTTCGGGAGTAGAAAGCCTCACCTCTCTCCCTCGGGGGAGCTGCTGACTTCAAACTTTTGGCTTTGCAGTTAGCAGCCCAACACCCCGGGGTCCAGACACATGCAGGTGTTTTGGTGGCACAGTGATTGAGCACGTGGGTACGCACTGAAAAGTTAACAGTTGAAACTCACCAGTGAATCTGATCCGAGGGAGAGCAGACCTGGAGCCTTCCTCCCACCAAGCTTTGTTGATGCTGTGAGCCCCACAGAGTGGTGAGTGGGCTCAAACTGGCCAATCTTTCGGTTAACTAACGCACTGCACTATGAGGGCTGCTTCTCTAAAGATTACAGCCTGGGGAACCCTACGGCGTAGTTCATATATCACTGGAGTCTCTTCAGTGGCACACAACCACCACCACTACCCAGACAAATAGACGTTTGGAAACTTTAGGTGGAGACAGAATGAGAAGGAATTGAAAGGAAATCAGCTCCAAGTTCATCAACTATGTAGACTGTGTGGTCCCTAGAAGTTAATATGCAAAAAAGCAAAGGTGGCCTTTAAGTGATAGGATTGTGATTCTGTTGACCATTAAAAAAATAATTTTATTGGCTATTCTTACAGCTCTTATAACATTCCACACATCAATTATATCAAGCATAAATATGCTGCCATCATCATGTGTTGCCATCATCATTTCCAAAACATTTTCTACTTGAGTCCATGGTATCAGCTCCTTTTTTCCCTTCCCTCCCACCCTTGTGAATCCTTGATCAATTATATAATTTCATTATTTTGTATCTTAGGCTGTCTGCTGTCCCGTTATCTCACTTCACCCACATCTCCGTCATTCGTCGTCCGTCCGTTCCCCCCCCTACCCCGGGGGAGGGGGTGCTACATATCCAACCTTGTGATGGGTTCCTCTTTTCTCCTCCAACCATCCTCCTACCCTCATAATATCACTATTCCCAGCACTGTTCCTGGGGGACTTACCTGTCCTGAATTTCATGTGTCTAGAGCTCTTATCGGTACCAGTGTGTATTCTCCAGTCTAGCCAGATTTGTAAGGTAGAACTGGGTCATGGTAGTGGGGGGAAGGAAGCATTCAGGAACTAGAGGAATGATGTGTGTTTTCATTGGTGCTATACTGCATCTTGGTTGAATCATCTCTTATAACCCTTTTGTGAGGGGGATATCTAATTATCTACAGATGGGCTTTGGGTCTCCACTCCAAACTCCCCCATTCACATCAATATAGTTGTTTGTTTTGGATTTTTTGATACCTGATCCCGTTTACACCTCAATGTCACACAGGATGGTGTGCTTCTTCCATGTGGGCTTATTTCCTTCCCTGCAGGATGGCTGCTTGTTTAACTTCAAGCCTTTAAAACCCCAGACACTATATATTTTGATAGTCGGGCACATCCACTCTCCACCACATTTGCTCATGCACCCATTTTGTCTTCAATCATGTCAGGAAGGTGAGTGTATCAAAGAGTGCCAGGTTATTAGAACAAAGTGTTCTTGTGTTTAGGGAGGCCCTGAATAGAGGCCTAAAGTCTGTCTGCTATCTTACTGCTTAACCTATATGTATATCGGTCTCTATCCCTTTCATTATAAATTAATAGATTTACATATATACATGCCTATAGCTGTACCTCTCTAAATAGCTTTTGCCTCCTACTTCTTTCTTTTATTTCCTTTCACCTTCCTCCTGCCCCACTATCATGATCACCCTCCATTCGGCTCTCAGTAATTCCTCTTGGAAATATTGCACTTGATCAAACACCACCAGGCATTATATGCCCTCCTTGCCATCAATTTTTGATCTCTTGTTGTTCCCTAATCCCTGAATTTATTGGCTCCCCCCTGCTCCTCTCCCATGTCCCCGCCTAAACCACCAGTCCTGTTGTTTTCTCTTCAGGATTGTTCGTCCTGTCTGTTTTATATAGATAGATATAGGGCGAAAGAAAAACAAAAGCAAACAAACAAAACAAGGAAAAAAAACCCCGGTAGTTCCAGCTTATGTATGTTTTCCAATCAAGTCTGATGAAGTGCTAAGCCCTGTCCTCCAAGTCAGAAATCTATTTTCAGAATTCCTCAGGAACTTGGTTACTTTGCTCCCGTTGCTGCCCTGTTGCACGCCCTTTGCATTTCACCCTACTGTGCATGGGGCAGACTGGGCACACTTTCCGCAGTGTCTCCAGGGCTTTCCGCCATAGCACTATGGGTCAGTGAGGGAACTTGTGTCTCGTGGTGGGGACGGTCCTCTCTGTGCATTGGCTGTCTTCCCTGGGGCTTGGTGGGCCATGATGAGGTCCACTCTCTCTTCCGCCCTCTTAGTTCGCTCCCGTGTGGTCTGGACAGACCCTTCTCTCCTCCCCGGGCTATATCTTCAGTGCTGTCTCTGTATTTCCTTCTGGGGAGGGGGCCAACACAGCTCAGCTTGGGCCCAGCCCCATCATCCTCTGTTAGTTCGCTGCTCCATGCCGGTGTATTGCCTTCAAGGCTTGGCACTCTGGGATGGGGTGTGGCTGTTGACCATTTTTTATGCTGTATTATCTATCTTCAATAAAAGCTGCTTTTCCAGAAGTCATAACCGGTCACAGACCGTCAAGAGATCTCCTAAAGAACAGGACTACTTGTCAGCTCTCTTCTCTCTAGAGGCTCCATACTTTATCAAGGTAGAGCATCTGAAGTTTGTAAACCAGAAACATGCCCTTTGACTCACCTCAGAAACACAAAGATTCTGTGGTCTTTTGGGTGATCCTTCATATGGTGTTTTTGTGGCACTGCTACTACAGGCTCTGAACACGCATGGTGACACCTTAAGTCCCGCCAGCACATTCGTGCTAATAGGGAATTGTTGGTGCCCCCTGAAAGGGAAGGAGTTTGTGTTTATTAGACAATGGGGGTTGTGTAATTCATTGATCACCGAAGAGTGATTGAAGTACCTAAGGGACAGAACTTCCATTTAAAATTTCTTTTTAATAGCTATTCTTGTTTGTTTTATGTTTATCAGTAGCATGTATGTAGATAATTTATCAAAAACTTAATGTCTGTGTTGGGGTGATGCAAACTTAAAACGGTCAGCTACTAACTGAATGGTTGGAGGTTCAGGTTTACCCAGAGGTGCCTCCGTAGCAGTTTCACTGACGCACATGAGGTCGCTATCATTAGAATTGACTGGCTAGCAACTGGTTTGGTTATCCCGCTGTGTACTGCATAACGGCCCCTTCCAGCTATGTCCCACTGTATGCCCACCTGGGAGGTCTCATAAGGTTATAATGACAGGAAGGGGGGATAGTGGATGTGCTGTTTGCTAAGAAGTGCTGATCCTGGCTCAGTAACCCTCTGGTCCTGCTCTGCCCCTGCCCTGGGCAGCAGGGGGAAGGGATCCTGGTACTCATCAGAGATGGCCTGGCCCCCTGCCTTCACTGCACTTGGATTTACTGTGCAGACACCACGAAGCCAGGCCCCCTACCACGGCTCCTCCTGCTGACCCAGTGGGCCCAGCTGCATAGGTGTTGGGAGCAGGGACACAAAGGTGGCCCCGAAGCACTAGAGAAGTGCAAAGCCCATGGGGGGTGGGCAGGCTGACTGCGGGGGTGGGGGTGGGTGGGTGGGGTAGGAGCCAAGGGTGTCTCTGGAGACAGGCAGCTGGACAGCAAGTGTCTGCTGCATCAGTCTGGTTTGGGAGATTTGTGGGTGATCATGCAGGAACTAAAGTCTTCTGCAGCCCCTGGGCACAGTACCCCGGGCTTGCTCCTGTGTGTGGTGTGGTGTTTGCAGGGCTTTGACCTGGTTCGATAAGGCTCTGTAATTCATGGTCAACAGGGGCTGTATACAGTGCATAGCCACCACATCTGTTGCTCATACTTTTTGGACCCAAGGAGCTCTGGTGGCTTAATGAGTTATGCTTTGGGCTGCTAACCACAAGTTTAGTAGT